ACTAAGGAAGGAAAATTATTTTGTTCCGAGCCCTTCCACAAAGCCAAAGCATTAACAAGGAGAGTCAAATGCCTCAGTGCCCTCTAAGTGAAATGTCTTTCTCTTGAATGAGAAAGTGATGACTCTGGTTAACAGGTGGAACAGTCAGTCTAACTGACTGAAGGCTGGGTATGGGTGTCTGTCTCAAGTCTAGTGAGGATGAACAGCAGACAAGAGATACCAGAAGGAACTGTGTGAGTTAAGGCTCAGGACACGGACCTGTTAGAGCAGGTCTGGAAGAGGGCCACAAAGATGATGTGAGGGCTGGAACACTTCTGCTACAAGGACAAACTGAGAGAGTTTGGGTTGTTCAGCCTGTAGAAGAAGTTATTGCAGCTTTCCAGTACTTGAAGGGGACCTACAAGAAGGCTAGGGAGGGACTTTTTGCAAGGGCTTGTCATGATAGGAAAAGGGGTAACAGCTTCCAACTGGGCTAGGGTAGCTTTGGAACAGACGTAAGGAAGAAGTTCTTCACTATGAGGGTGGTGAGACAGGTTGCCCAGGGAAGGTGCAGACGCGCCATCACTGGAGGTTTTCAAAGCCAGGTTGGATGGGGCCTTGCACAACCTCTTGTAGTGGGAGATGCCCCTGACCATGGCAGCAGGGGGGGAACTAGGTGATCTTTATGGTCTCTTCCAACCCAAACCATTCTATGATAACCAAACACAGCAGTGAAATTGAGGAATGCGGTACTCCTGTGAAGATTAGTTTCTGCACTCCGCTAAAACTGCATCACAGACGACTCTGCATCTTGAAAACAGGAGGATGGCAACAAGGCTACAGCATACCCTGTGTGCAACTCTAGCAAAACAGCCTGTGGAGCTCAGAAACTCAAACCATGGATGCACAAGGCAGTCAACTTGCTTAAAAACCGCTGTGTTGAACACCAGGGATGCTGGACAGACAGATACCTTGCACACATGTCCTGGTTCTTGTCAGCAGATGAGGGAGAAGGTGTGAGCGCATCAAATCAATCTGCTTAGAAGTACTGCAAAGTAAAAACACCTTATGGTTATGTAAGATCTTGTCCTGAGGTTTGTAACATGGACTTTTTAAGACAAATAATGAACCTTTTGAGAAATGCTCCTAAGGTGAGACAACTCACTGCTTTCCCCTATGTCTCACAACACTTACTGAGTCAGAACAGTAGCATCCTCAGTATAAACACACCATAACCTTGATTTTCTGCAACTTGACTCAACAACCATGGAAGACAAGAGGAAGAATGTGTGAGAGGCTTTGCATCTGTCTCACTTAAGGCCTGTGTTAAACTCTTGGTTTCTCCTCACCCTGGAGTTCTCCTCCACTGAGCTGTACTGAAAAAGGGGTTTGATACTGGTTCTGTAAATATTTGTATGTATTCCACTTTATTATCATTTTTGTTAAAGCTGTTCTAATAATTCCATCCTCCTTATTCCTTTTCTCTTCCTCTTTAGGAGAGGAGAAGGGTTAACAGAGAGTGTCTGCTACAGTCTGTGGGCAGCCCTGACCCTAAACCTTGGCAGATTTATTGAGGTGGTGGCTTGACAGTTACACCCAGCTATCTAGAGAGACTAGCTCAGTGGCTGAGGGAGGCAACTTTAACAGTAAAGAGGATTGCTAAGACTTGGTTTTAAATAATCATGGACATTAGAAGATGCTCCCCTTTCAAATCCTGGGCATCAGGCATCTAAAGGAACCCAGACAGCTACTGGACAATAACAACACATCGCTAGAAGAGAAGAACTTACCCATACTTCTAGACAAAAGGGTTTTTTTAATCCAAGTACTGTAAATACTCTTGAAAAACTCCAAATGTACAGCAACTGCCATGGGAGAAACACAAACAGGAAGAAAAAGCCATTTTGGAAGGTGTCCACCCAAAGCAATGATGCCTACTCTGTCTGGGTTTTAAAACTCAAGTGGTGTGTGCTAAGATTCAGCAAGCAACTACACAATACAAAATATCTCCAATCACACATTTAGTAACTACGTAATATTTGAAGCTTATATCTCATCATTAGACAACACTAACAGGATGCATTTTTCCACCTCATCCCATATGAGCCTTGTATCTACAGAATTAATGTGAAAAGGTGCAGTAGCTGCCAAGTCATTCCCGTCATCTGGAGTCAACTACTTTGAGTTCCACTCCAACAAACAGATTTCTGAACATTACTGCCTGCACTGCTAATGTGCAGTGGGCAGAAAGGCAGTACCACATGATCCTGTTGAAAGCAGAGTTTTTCTTGTGACCTGAAAGCACAGCTAATTATGAACAGCAGTGAGTGAACAAGCACACTTTGTGATGTGGAGCAACAGAAGTAATGATCAAGTGTCAGGTGGTAGATTAACTGTAATGTGTTAAAATACAAGTTGACTTCTCAAATCATTATTCAAAGCTTTTTTGAAGAATAATGCTCCCCACTCCAACAGGCAAACAAACCAGTCAGCCCAATTCATATATTAATTTTTATTTTGCCATACAATATTCACAGGGTCTGCTTCTTGTCTTACACAAACTAATCTTTTTTTACCCCTGAAACTAAAACAAGAACTGACATTTCAGGACACAAAAAGAAGTTCTGTAAACATAAAACATCCAAGGAATAGCTGAGACCCAGGGCCTTTAGCAATTAAAAACACAGTTATATCCCCTTTAACGCAGGGTGTTTACTTGCGTATCAACCATTAGCCAAACTGTTACTTTCATATAGTAAGAAGATGCAGCTTTAACCAAAAGTCACAATGCATTTCTTCACCCACTGCGTGTTAGCATGTGTTTTATTATATCCTACTCACTCACATTTTAAAAACTATATACAGCTTTGTTTAGACGTGTGTTTGTGCCGTGTTTTTAGTAACACAAAAATAAAGGCATTTTTAAGCTATTGCTGCGTATTATGCAGCAGGACACCAGAGGATTGGTTCAGATACCTAAATTCAATGCAAAAGTCAAGTCCATAAAACCTCAGTGGTGTGAGAAATGTTGAGCTGAACAGTCCCACTTCACACATTCAAACATTATGAAAGAACAGAGACCTGTACATGATGGTCAACCATTACCTGTCTCACCCTACTGTTTACTAATTTTGACAGCACACAGAACAACTTAGTGGAAAAAAAGCCAACGTATTTCAATCTTTAAAACAAATGCTTTTCTTGTAATTAAAGCTACACAACTGATGCTCAAACTCTAAAACATAATAGTGGACACTATCAAAATTAAAGAATGTTTTCTTCTGACACTTGCACCAAAAAGTGTACCACTTGCCTCATTATTGTGTGCAATGCAGCAAAAGAAGTACTGAGGATCACCTGCTGAAACACGAGAATAAAGCATACAGGTACAATCAAGAATACTGTGTCAGGCACAGATTTGTTATCTCCAGAAACCATTAGGCAGTTTCCTAGTCTTTGTGAATCTAACCATTTCTGGGAACCTTGCATCCCCAAATGGGACTGCAGTATGTAAATTCAGTACAGGATAGAAAAACATTGCCTACAACCCTGAATGTTACACACTGATGCTCCTGTGACTGTTGAAGTAATTTCTGAGCTGTTCGAGGTTTGTCTTTAGTTTCCTCAAGTCGCTCAGTTCACAACAGAGAGTGGGTCCACTTTTTTTTTTTTTTTTTCCCCAGCCATCACAAGACCTTAAAAATCAAGTTATCTTAAATCAATTCTTGAGACTGCTCAAGTGTCACCTGTGCATGTAACTTCAAATATTTGCTAGAAATAATACAGGCAATTAATAAAGGGTTAGCATTCTTCCTCTGCTTGCTAAGAACTTAAGAAGCATCTTTTGAATTATCTAGCAATATATGAAAATTTTTTTTCACCTTAGTTTACTTTGTGTGTACTTAAGAATTGGTCAATCTGCCTATTCCTCCAGAGACATCTGGACAGAGTTTAGGTTTATGATGACCAGCTCAATTCAAGCTACTCATATGTACACACATTTACTACTTTCCACATCCAAATAAAACAAAAACTTTACAGTACCTAAGCTACTAAAGACATGAGCAGTGGCAATGATGCAACTATAAGTCTACCAAAAAAAGAGAACCTGAAATACCTAAAACATTTCCTCCCTAGCGAAGAAGAGTGGCAATTAGATGCACAAGGCCATCAGGTATCAGTGCACTACACACACAGAAAGTAAAATTTACAGCACTTGTGCAATGCAGTGTCAATATCAAACAGGCCTCATAATAGAAAAAAAATTTAGTCAAAAGCTTTCTATGTGCCAAACACATAATATAACCTTGTCCAGTGCTGGTGCCATGCTGATTAACAAACAAAGCTACTTCTGGTCTTAATTCCAAAATGCAGCAGCAGCAGCAGCATATGAGAGTACAGGAACTGTACAGTTTCAGCGGCAAAGTTGTAAGATTCCCCATTTTATTGCATGTTTTTTACAGAAAGTTGGAGATTTGGGTTTCTGAATACAGAAAGTGGATTTCCTGAGTAGTCTCAGCTTGCAATTTGTCCAGTAAAACAAACATTGTAAAAGAGGAAATACATTTTGTAATATGGAAGAATGTATGTTTCAGCAAACATACTCAGGTATAAAAATTTTGCAAATTTTGAAAATGAAGACTTACCAGGTTGATGAAGAATTTATGCTGTGATGTAGTGTCAAGCTGGCAAGTTTTACAAATAAGCAAGGGGTATCATTGGATTATTTTTCTAACAGCCGATCAAAACAGTGCACTACAGTTCATCACATTTGCATTTTTTATAATCCAATACATCAAGCCTGAAAATTAAAGCCAAATGGAAGCCAAATGGAATTTTCATACATATTGTCTCTGATATCAAGACACTATACTGTTGGGTTATTTTAAAGTGTTGTATTGCAGATGGCTGATTTTACTGGGTAAAATCAAACTCGGTTTGGATTGCAATCAGTAGAAATAAAGAGGCTGCTCAGTACCAGGTATTTAATACAGGAAGCAGAAAACACTTAAGTTTCAAAGTGTTTTTGAAGTATTTCAAATTGTGTGTCCCTTTCATAACTTTTTGGGTCTGTTTTGTGATTTTTCAGGGATGAGGGGTAGACACATTTGGAGGTTGCATATATTCAGATCCTTTGAACATACAATTAACTGAAGGATGGTTAATTTTTAGAGAGGAGTAGCACACAATGACCTGAAGCGTTACCACTACCAGTTAGGATCCAACACGGGTTGTTGTGGTTCTTTTATCTGAGAAGAAGCTTTTGAGGAGAAACACCTGCCCGATGCTAACAACGAGAAGAATAATTGCCTCCCCTATTGACCAGTAGGCCACCCTCGTGTTGAGATCCTCTGCTCGGCTACGGCCCTGCGCCTCCCGCAGGCGGAAGTGAGTCTGATAATCGATGACAGACTTCAAAGCCTCATGAATGGAAACACAGGCAGACTCCATCTAGAGGGGCAAAAAAAATACACACCACTGAATTAAGAACCCTTCTAGTGCCTTTTCTGTGAAATTTTGTGGGTTGATATTTAAAATCAGGATTAATGCAACTTTGCAAGCTAAGGATTAACTCGGCCTGTTGTCATACTGTAAATGCACTAAAATTTAACTTACATTGATCCAACTACAGACAGGAATGCAACAGACTCTTAAATACAGAAGCATGTAAAACTGTAGATCCAATAAAAGCAACAGGGTCTGAGAACGACTAAACAAATTTTATATTAATGTATATTTGAGTTCAAAACTATCATACAAAATACTTTTGAAATGTCAGCAATCCCCCAGCTATTAGTTTTGCATGTACCAGAAGACAAGCAGCTGCTTATAACTTTAAAGATGCACACAGTATGTGTCGAATGCTTCTGTGTTTCACTGGTCTGACATTCTTCACTGTGTAAATCTACTTTACTGGACTCAACACATTCTTTTGAGAAGAGACCATTAAGGCACATACACAAAGTGGTTACAGGACAATTCTTTTACCTTTTGGTGCTCCCAAATGCTGCATAATATAATCATATAACAAATACCCTGACTTCACTCCCATTTTTCAGTTAAAAAAAGTATTGTTTTTCAAGATCTAGACCATTCTTCACATAAACTTCTCCCACCTCCAGTTTACATTCTGTAAATAAGAGTCAGTACTCTTCCCTGTATTTTGATCACCAAGAGATTTATCCATAGATCTTCAAAATACTTCATTTCTAGTCATAATTTGTTTTTCTGGCTTATGGCTTAAAATCAGTATTTCCTGAAGATCAAACAGCAGAAACTATTAAAAAAGGAAACAGATAACACCTTGATATGACCACGCTCAGCTACTCTTATCTGTGTCTAACCATCTTTTCAAATTAATGGCTGTCAAGAGAGGCATCTGAACAAGTCCAAGATATTATTCTCAAAAAAATTCAAGTTTTGCAAACTGCCTTCTGCCCTTGGTCTCGCTGTGAGAGCTCTCCTAGCCTGCCGAAGGGATTTAAATACAAAGTCACTCTGGTTTTAGGGTTTTACCTATTACTCTCCTGTGAAAGGCTGTCCAAATTTGGTCACGCTATAAGACTCCAAGGAAACTGCAGCAAGAACCCTCTTAACCAATGATGTCTCATGCTTTGAAAATTAACTTTCCCTTTCCCAAATACCTTATTTGTATTGTGCATGCTACAACCCAGGGATAAACTATTTGTTAATACGTCTTCTGCTAGAGACTGCAAGGGGCTGCAGATATGCTGGACCCAGGAACTGTGTGTTCTGTGTTCTCAAAATCCCTCTGCTGGTGCCAAGAGAGCAAAAGAAAATCCAGAACACACAGACTGAACAGAACGGAGACCAAAGTACAGAAAAGAGACAGAAGGATACAGAATCAAGAATCAGAATACAAAGTAAAGCAGAGCAGAATAGTGAGAAGAAGAAACGGGCAAGAGCTGTAGCTGAATTCACAGCAAGTCACCTTCTCATTACAGATCTCAGCTACTCCAGACTTAGGTGAGGTAAAAGCAAGTGATTCCAATGGCATTTGGAAAGCAGTATTTATACTGCTGAGTCCAGATCAGCAAAATAGTGACCACATCCAGCATTCTTTAATGCCTGTTGAAAGGGAGGTTTGGTGACGGCTATAATGTAACGACATGTTCCTTGGAAGCAAAGGTTCCAAGCGAAGTTCTGATGGACGCAGATTGGGTAAAGGTGACACAAAACTGTAAAATCCTGAAAATATAGTAATCTGACACTTCAAAATACCTTATAAAGGACAAATATCTAGAAGCATGCTAAATATGGCCGATTTTTTTTTTTCCCTAGAATTTTCTTCTCCATTTTAAAAACAGCAGTTATACAAGAGGTGAGCTTAAGTCCTCCCCCAAAAAGAACTCCACTATTTTAAATATAAAAAAAAAAATCTCCAAGTCTTCTCAAACCCTGATGTATCAATATTTAGTTTGTGAAATCCACACTTCAAGAGACACACAACAATAGCATTAAAGATTTTCCCTTAATTAAAAAAACAAACCACCAAACCACCAAAAAGACAGTGTACTAGAGTTTAAGTTACTACCCTAATTTTCTCTTACGCACTTGGTGATTCCTTCTCAGCTCTGTCCTGTGTTTTATAAATCCTGTCTTCAGGAAGAAAACTTATTCGTAATAATACAAATAATTTTATTTAGTAATCCAATTAATTGATCTTCAAAAGTGATAGCAGATTAAGTAAAAGTAGACTAGATAGCTAATGCAGATGAAAGAAAAAATTGCCTTAACGTCTGCTGCCAAACAACAGCATTTTACCTGGGTAAGTGCAGTTACTCTGTTCTCACTAGGAAACAGAGGTGGATCTTCCCCAACCTGGAAATCAAAGTACACAGTTTTGTGTGTGAACGTAGAGAATTCGTTGCTGAAACAGAACTTGTATGTTCCATTTCTGGATGCAGTAAATGTGAAGCTATCATATTGTTTCTTCATCTCTTTGTACAACACGATGCCATCAGGATCTTCCAACCGACAGTCAACGTCATAATGTCCTCCAGTGATCACCTGAAAGCAAAAAAACAAGGAATTGTCCTTTTAAGATAACAGACATTTGCACCTTTCTTCTAAGAAGTAGAATTTGTCAAGTGTCATTGCAAGTTTTTCTGCTTTAAAAAAAAACATTTTTAAACATAATGCATTAATTTGAAAAGCAAGTCTGGAAAATTATTTTCTTACAGAAGACATACAGAACTTCATTTAAAACTCTTTAGGCTCAGCGTATTTAATGTCAACTGTATTTTCAAACCATTTAGGCAGGCAACTTTAGCTACTTTGTTATAAATAGCTGTACAACAGCAATGGCTACAGTAGACAAAACTCGACTGGGCAGCAAAGACGTTCCTGTAACAGATCAGCCACTTGCTGCAGGCACAGGTCCTCCCTGGAACCATTCAGCAAGAGGCTGCTGACACACAGTAGGACAGCCCCCCTCTGCGTGGCCAGAGCTACCCTAGCAGCGCCAGCGGCCGCAGGAGTGGCACTCACCAGCAGAACAGGTATTTCCACCTGACTCAAGTGTTTACCCACGTGTGCCCACGCACAGAATGACGTTCCAGGGGTCTGCTGCCCGCTCCAGCACAGCATTTCTTCCCAAAAACAGCACATCCAGATATCTTACAACTAACTCAAACTTCGCAAGATTGTCTGAAGTTTTTTTTCAGGCTTTGGTTACTGTTGGTCTACAGCATACTGCTCTGCAGACTGCCTATCCCATCTCTGCAGGAAGACCAACTGGCGGCTTAGGCTTTCAGAACTTGGTGTTCCATTGACCCTTGAACTAGTAATTTTGTACTCAAGAAAAGAGTTCTATGCAAATGCACGTCCCTTGTATATGCATGCAGAGATCACTAAACTATTTTATTATCTGGGTATCCACACTTCAGTTCACATAGTACCATTTAAACTCCGGAAAGAGTTTATTTAGATATCAAGTTACCAAAATGGTAACATTACTGATACAACTGAAAACACAAGAGATCTGGGAAGCAGCTGCTCTGCAAACAGAAATCTTAAAAGTATTGTTGGCAAGCAATACCTTAATAATTTTTCAAAAAAATGTAATGATAGGATACAACAACAACAACAAAGGACTTCTGGATGTCTCTGCATCTAGTTAGGTTCTTCTATACAGAAATGCTTACCTGGCTAGAAGGAAAGACAAAAGTGCAGTTCGCTATAAGGAAACGTTTCATTTTTTAAGCACGATCTCAGATTTGGCAGGGGCATGCTTTTTGCCAGCTACAGGGAAGTCACCCATATTCAGCTGTATCACACAGCCTGAAAGGGCCAGTTTACATACACAGGGTAAAGATCCGACACAGCTTTAAAGTTCCCCTGGGGCTCCTACCCACAGAGCTTGCCTGAGCCTCCTCTCAGCTTTGAAGGCAGGCTGACCGAAGACATGCATGCAGCATTTCACTCTGCTGGTAGCTGGGCGAGCCTGGGCTTTCCTTTTAACAATGCTACTCCCGTTCCGATCACTGGCAAAAGTGACAACAGCACAGGCTTATTGCCCAGGAACCTTCAGTGATAGCCACTTCAGAACAGGTGAGACAGCACTGCACAGAAGAGCCTTAACGAAGGCAACAGGCAGGGACAAGAAACATTTGGGTAGGGAAAAAGACAACTAAGAACTACAACACATAAACCAGAGTAACGTGGACAGATATTCGGCAGCAACATTGCCCAAACACTAAAGGTGGGACAGCAGCCAGGGGAGAAAAAAAACACAGGAGGGATTTCAACAAGAAAAGTCTGACCATTACAGTACACAGCTCTGTCAAAAGTCTCCAAAGGTTAACTGTGTTTCCCATCACCAAGGATGACTTCTCCCATATTGCTGCTGTACTTCTCAGTGACTTCACCAGCTGAAATGATGGACTGAAATGTCTCAGCCCCACCAAAACACTCACAGGCATCAAAACTGTCAGAGCTGTTTGCTCAACAGAGCTAAAGCTGAGCAACGTGTTCTATCATAATGGCTGCCTGTTCAAACTGATAGAGACTGGGAAAAATAGGAAGAACTGTGCTGCCTTGCTTAAAACATGCTTGTCAACCGCAGTCTCAACGAGATGTTGGTTGCTCACGTTTTATTTTTTGGAGCCTCCTGCCTTGCTATGCACCCAGCACACTTTGCTAGTGCAGCACACCTACTCCAACACTCTTTGTCTGCGACTCCAGTTCGAACCGCACTCCAGCGACAGCTGCTCCAGCTGTATTACGCCTGTCACGCAAACGCCTCGGAGCCCGCACGGAAACAAGTTCCGCGGCAGCGTGCG